CCTTCAGGCTCAGCTCAAAAGTTACCTTTTCCAAGAAGTCTTTCTTAATGCTCCCAGGAGAGGGGCTATCTTCCCCATCTGTGACACTGCCACTCTTTTGCACATAGCTCTGATTTGGCACTCATGTCCAATGTATGGAAATTATTCATTTGCATGTTTCCCCCCCTAACTAAGCTATGTGTTCCTCCATTCATCAGAGCCTAACCTTACACAGTGCGAAGCATAGAGATGGTGTTGACAAATGTTGAAAGAAGTAGAGTCTTATTTAGAGCAGAATGACTTGAACCAGATCCAGAACTCATTGATTCACTCAGGACATACTTTGTTGTTTTGTTCAGAGGCAGTGGGAGTAGGCATTGATTTTGGACTAGGAGAGCTGAGATCAGCTTTTGTCCTTCTCTTTCTAGTTCATTTACTAGTGTCACCTAGTCCATTGTCCCTTTGGACCAAGTCAGAGGAGAAGGAGAGGAAGGGGAACACAGGGAGGAGAGGGCTGGAATTGTAGATGTAATTTCACAAGGGTGGAGGGACTGTGTGACTTTCTCACAGGTTAGCAGTTGGCCCAAAAGCTTGGTATATATAGATGCAAGATGGACTACTCAACCACAGATTCCGCATTTGAACAATGGAAAAATATTGTTCATGTACTCTACCAAACAGTATACTGTGTAAACACGCAAGGTAAACAGTATCATAAGGGAAGCAGTGAAGTAGACATTTGGGAGGACAAAGAAGGGAGAAGCTGACAACTGAGATGAGCTGGAAGGGGCTGTGAAGATCTGACTTTTTCTATCCTGATTGTACTTGTTGTGCATCTTGTTCTCCACTCACTGTTTTAAATCTGATGACAGATATTTTCAATACTTATCCCTTAAAGGAACACTGGGTCCCATGCATAGACCACCAGTTGAGTATCAAATCGCCTTGAAATTGAACTAAGCTGTTTCTCAGATTAGTTGTGTGTTGCAAACTACCCAGTTGGGGGCAGACAAAACAAACAGATGACTTCTGAATGCTACCAAAGGAATCCTGCATTTCATTGTGTGTTGTTATTTTAATAAGGCAAAGGGCTTTTCAACTCATAATCAGATTCAGACAGCTTGTTCGCAATCTCCACAGACTGAAGACTACAATAGGGTTCCTTTGCAATTATCATATTTTTAACCATAGAGGACAGAGCTTGGGCATGGCTATGAGGAGTGGTAGAGGCACATATATTTTTCTGGACAGTGTGAAATGCTGTGCAGAACATACCGAGAGATTTATAGAGGTACTAATACTGCCAAAACAAACCCTCTTAATAACATCAGATTGCAGGGGGCAGTGCATTTAGCAAGAGATCATCTTAATTCCCACTTCTCTCTCCCTAAGAGGGTTTACAATGCCTATTTGAGGGAGTTAAACAAAATCAGATACTCTCCAGTTGCTTCGTTTTCTTCTGCCAGAGAATTCACAAAGAAAGTTTCCATCTCAGATTTTAATGCTTCAGTTTCAATAAAGGTGAGAAACATTGTTGGGCAGGCTCAGGCTCCAACACCCAAAAAGTTCTGCCTGACCATCATTTACTCAACTTTACAGGCTTTGTCAATTTTTTTTTCCTATCCTTTCTTTTCCTTGGAGGTTAACTACAAGTTCAAAAATGAATCTAGGCCACGTGTGTTGGCTCACAAGAATGGCTTTAACCTGGGAGGCATAGGTCATAGTGAGCTGAGATCACGCCACTGCACTGCAGCCTCGGTGACAGAGTGAGACGCAGACTCAAATATATATATATATATATATATATATATATATATATATATATATATATATGTGTGTGTGTGTGTGTGTGTGTGTGTGTGTGTGTATATATATATATATATATATATATATATATGAATATAAACAAAGTACCAAATCCAGTGCCCAGCCAAAACTTCATTTATCAATTTCTTCTTTCCCTGGAGGAATCAACACACATACAGCTGTAGCCGGTATGGTGAAAGGGAATGAGTCTCCCAGAGCCCAAGACAGAAGTCATAGCAGCAGGTCTTGATAAACCTCCTACTTATAAATGTGTCTAGATTGGCAGAGTAATTTCAAAATGGGACTGAGTGGGTGCATTAATTTTGAAAAAGCTCCACATGTGATTCGGCTGCAAATTCATATACCACTTCCTCCATGAAGCCTCAAGGTTCTGTCTTTCCTTGGAGGCTGCCTCTGTACTCTGGACATTCTTTTGCTTTAGCACTTACAAAGCTGTTTTGGAATTATGTGTATTTAAGTCTATTTCCCCATTAAACTGAGCTGGAGAGCATAGATTGTGTCTTTTTATTTTCAGTGCCCAGTATGCATTTTGGTACTTAACAAGTGTTGATGAAATTTTTGCTGAACTGAATAAGGGTACATCCCATCCACGCACACATACAGAGTAAGTCCTCACTTCATGTCATTGATAGGTTCTTGGAAACTGAAATTTAAAGTGAAAAAATGTACAGCAGGTCCTCAAATTATGTGGTTTCATTCAACATTTTGTTACAAGGATGATGAGGAAAAATTGGTTTCGTTATATGTTATTTTGCTTAAAATTGCAGTTTCCAAGAACCTATAGACATAGTTAAGTGAGGATTATCTATCTATCTATCTATCTATCTATCTATCTATCTATCTATCCATCCATCCATCCATCTATCATCTTCACTTCAGTCAAATATGGAAGGGGTTGCCACTAGTTAAAGGTCAATGCAGATTTTTGGAGCAGGGAGATGCTCCGTCCGCTCCACGCATCAACCTGATATTGCAGTAACAGGAATGGTGCACCCCCTTGCGGAATACAAAAATAAATAAACAAATAAAATAAAGGTTGATGGCTTAGATGAACTGAAGTTTATTTCTCAGGTGGTTCAGTCCAAGAGTGAATGCAATGGCGAAAAATGGACAAAGGACAAGCAACTGCAAAAGAGGGCCTTAATAAATGGCCTAAAAGACAAACATTTCCCGAAGAACCCCTATCCTATAGGAAAATGGTTGTCAAACATTTTGTTGTTGGGAGCCCTGAAGTAGTTTTAAAATACGTCCACAAACCCCCTAATTCTCCCTTCATGAGGTGGAGCTTAATTTCTTCCCTCTCCTTGAGTGTGGATTAGAATTACTGGCACGCTGGCTGGGCACAGTGGCTCACACCTGTAATTCCAGCACTTTGGGAGGCTGAGGCAGCCGGATCACCTGAGGTCAGGAGTTTGAGACTAACTTAGCCAACATGGTGAAACCTCACCTCTACCAAAAATACAAAAGTTAGCCAGGCATGGTGGCGCAAGCCTGTAATCACAGCTATTCAGGAGGCTGAGGCAGGAGAATAGCTTGAACCTGGGAGGTGGAAGTTGCAGTGAGCTGAGATCGCACCATTGCACTCCAGCCTGGGCGACAGAGTGAGACCTGTCTCAAAAAACAAAATGAAACAAAAACCCACAAAGAATTAGTGGCTCGCTTCTAATAAATCAAATATGCCAGAACTGATGGTGTACCTCCTTCCAACAACCAGAACTAACTTGCTACACTTGCAAGTGAGCCACTTTGGAAGTTGGTCTTCCAGCCTCCATCAACATTTTGAATGACTGCAGTCTCAGGATCCCAGAGAGCTTTCGGTTATATGATACATAGCTATCGATATTTACTGTTTTAGAAATTTTTTTAAAAATTTAAATTTATTACTAATTTGAAACTAGCAATTATAGACTCATTACATGTTAATATAAATATTAATAACATTTCATGAAAACAGTGAGAAAAATGGTATCAGTTTTCATTTTTGCAAGCTGTCTCTGCTCTCTGGCCTGATAGGGGACAGGTAGATTCTTCTACTGACTTCTCCATTTAATCTGTTGCAACACATTGTTTTGGTTGAAGTATATGAACAATATCCAGCTTTACACAAATATGTAATGAGCAAAAGGAAAACCTCATAGATGTCCTGAAAGTGTTACTGGGACTCCCAGCAGTCCTGAAATCACATTTTAAAACAGCTGCTACAGGGAAACTAGGAATCCATTAGCTTGAAGTCAACAAAAGAGAAACAAATGAGGACTTTCTGAAATACTTCAGTCGGGGAACTCCTTCAAGTTGCATTACTGGCTTCTTTCATCCTAAATTGTATCATAAAATGCTAAGAATTACCATCTCAGAAACCTTTATATGAAAATGAGAGAAATGGAAGAGTTTAGCCCAAATCTGGGATGTTACTTAATTCCTTTCTTCATTTTCTATCTATAGGCCAATCTTACTTAACCCCCTCAAGGTCAATAGGAACAACTCATGTCTAGATATTCTTGAGCCAGTGGCAAGGCTGCCGACATGTGCAGTCTTTTCAGCAATTCTAGAGTTGTGTTGGGCTTCCAATCCACTTTCTACCCATTTGTTGTAATTAAAACAAAACAAAACAAAACAAAACCAGAATGGGGACAGAGGGACTCTAGATCAGGGGAGAAGGGATGAAGAAAATAAGAAACAAACCTGGAATTTTGTCCCTTGACTAATGTTTTAAGAACTAAGAACCGGATCCTTCATTTTATCATTTTTAAAAGAGCATGTAAAGTGTGCAGTGTCTGTGTATGTGTGTGTGTATACACGTGAATGTGTCTCATCAGCTTCTCTCTGATGAATTTGACTCTGACTCACTGTTAATAATGGGAAAAGCTACGAAGCAAGCCACGAAATTGTGAGACCAGATTGTAAGCAGAAACTATTTTGCTTAATCAATAAAAGTTCTTGAATAGGGAAGTCCTTTCCACACATGTTGCTGTACTAGATATTTATGAACAGTATACTTAATATTTAAATATGGCTTGGAATATAATACTACATATATTTTTAAACACTGACAGATGATAAAATTGAATTAATCAAGCACTCTACTCAAAAGAACTAAATAACATGTATTTAAGAAGTTTCACTCCAGTGGTTTTTTGACCTTAAAGTACAATTGCTAATTGTATGCTGGAATAAAGAAAAAAGAAAGCTCTCACCTTCTTCGGCTGGATAAGGTTTCCTCATGTTCTACATGAGCAACTTTTAATACTTTCTTGTCAATAAACAGATCTTCAGGATAATAAGCAGATCTATATTGGCGTTGTTGAGAATGGGCACATAACTTGCCAATCTGAAAAAAGAAATGCAATGTAATTACATGATACTTGCACAGATACGATAGTAGAAACAAATTCTGAAAGACACTTCAATTTCTTCCCCCAATTTTAAATAGAAGAACAAAGCTATGACCAGAATAATAAAAAAAAAAAAGGTGATAAACTTGTAAGGCAAAAAACCATTGGTGGAAAGAAGGCTGAAGAAAGGCGTAAATACATATGAAGAAGTTCACAAAAGGGAACTGCAAAATTTAGGAAGAACTGGTGCAGGAGATGGGGGTTGTAGCCAGTTAATAGAAGAACAGCCTCCCAAGCACAGAGTACTACCAATTTCTATGAGTATTTTGTTATAAGACCCAAGCTAAGGTACTCTGGAAAAAGTGCGGTTGCTCATCTGGCTTTCCTAAAAATGCCCAAGGGAAGAAGGCAAGTCAACCAATCAGTAGGCAGTGACAGGTGGCTCACACCTGTAATTCCAACAGTTTGGGAGGCTGAGGCCAGAGGATCACTTGTGGCCAGGAGCTCGAGGCCAGCCTGGGCAACAAAGCAAGACTCAGTCTCTACAAAAAGTAAAATATTAGCCATGCATGGTAGCATACACCCGTAGTTCCAGCTACTCAGGAGGCTGAGATGGGAGGATGGTTTGAGCCTGGGAGGTCAAGGCTGCAGTGATCCATGATTGTGCCACTGCACTCCAGCCTGGGTGATAGAGGGAGATCCTGTTTCTAATTAATTAATTAGCCAGTGTCATCAACTATGAATCATATATCATTAAATAAGCCCAGGATTAAAAGTATTTCAAAAACATAGGTGCTTGAGAGTCTCCCTTTCTTCCTTCCTCCCTGTCTCCTTCCTTCCTCGCTTCTTCTGTCCCTTTCTTCCTTCCAGCTTTCCTCATTCATTCATTCAAAAATATTTATTGGATCTCGCTAAAGCTGACTTCTTTCACACTCACATAGCAATACTTTTTTAAAAAATGGCATAATATTTCTCAGCTCCATTCTACTTGATTTCTTTTGTTTAATTATTCATAGATTTGCTACCTTTTTTTTTTGCTTTTAATTAAGCAAAAGCCTAAATGAACTTTCATGTAAAGAAATATGACTATGAACATTCTTATATATTTCCCTTGTGCCAGACACTATGCCAACTATTATCATGCCCATTTTAGAGATGAGGAAATTGAGGCTTAAGGAGTTAAGTGACTTGCATAAGGCAAATAAACAGTGGACTCACTTGTCTGACTTCAAACCCATTTGTCTGACTTCAAAGCTTATGCAACATTGCCTCCCTAGCAGATGATGCTTGACTTTCAGTGGCTTACATTCTACATTGTAGAAAAATATAAAGAATTACCAATCCTCAAAAGCGTAGTCACCCAACATAGCCAAGGTAAATATATAGACTGTAACCTTCAGGAAAAATATTAGAAATATCTGACAAGGAGAAGGGTTGTATGTTTGTCACTTTTGTACCTCCACGCTATTCAGACTGGATTTTGTGCACTGTTAGGTGAATTAACTGAAGTGAATTGAAAGAATCTTTTATCATCAGGCTCAGATCAGCATGGACTCTGTGTGGTAATCCCAGCTTCTGGATTTCTCAAGATGGCCCTGACAGCATTTACTAAGTTATCTATTTATACAGCTTTGGAAGGCTTTTCATGTAAATAAAGTATCAAATTAGAAAAAAATCTAGAATCGGGGTAGCATCACCTTCATTTATAAAAGAGAGCATCTATAGTTTTATATTCAGATTAGCTAGACTCAATAGTTCACATTAATGGGAATAAAACAAAAGCCAAAGACACTTAAAGACATTCAGTTTGGCTTTGGAATGCATGATACTGAATTTTTCAGATGTGCTGATGTAATGCTATTTGACTTGGGCTAATATTAACTTCAAACAAAGTGTGTGCATTCCATGAATATGCCTTAACTAGCAGTCTGGTAGGGTGCTTTTAGGTCAGGGGCTGCCTGGCTGGACTATGGAGTTAAGTTCCAATCATTTTCAAAGCATAGAATGCAGATGCCAAATAACTGAGGGCAGACTATGTATCACCACTTTCTATCTGAAGACATATATATATATTTACTTTGTGAAAATGCAGGTGAAATTTCATGGAACAAAACCTTGATGTTAGTTCCATAAATATCTATTATTCTGTGAACAAACATTTATGTGAGAGCTTATTTCACTAAGATCAAAGTATTCTTAACACATTCAGGAACACAGTGCACATTGTCTTGACCTACACCTGTTCCAGTCCAGCACCAAAATCAAATCTTTCACAGGTCTTTCACAGTAACTTGTCTGCTTGCAACCCACAGCTGTGAAATTTCCCTCGCCATTGAAAGTCAGCCCTTTCTATCAATGAATACTAATTGGTCCACAGCAAAACCTGAAAGATTTTAGCCCCCTCCCCGCCACTTGCCCCAACCTGGAAAGGGGTACAGCTGACGCAAAAGTAGGAAGGTTAAGAACAAATGATAATGTAGCCAGTCTGCAGTCTGATCTTTCTTCCCAAGCAACCCAATGTAGCATTATCAAGCCAACTTTCCAAGGCTCTGTGTGGGGGAAGGGGCAAACAATGGTGTCGGGCCAATAACCCCACTCCTCCATCTGAAATGTGCCACATCTTATCAGACAGGCTGTATTTTCTTCCACAAATCTACCATAAAGCAAATTCTTCTCATATACAAAGCATTTGTCAAATACATTCCCTCCTTTGGGTCCTTCTCCCTACATCTTTCACCTCCACACTATGTGAGCTGTAGGAGAATATTACGAGCTCATTTTGAGAACTGGACACTAAAGGAAAACATAATTTATAAAGTGATGCAGCATTCACATTAAAGAAGTCCTTTCAGCTTCACACTTGGGAAATGTCAGGCTATGCTGGGAGACTTAGGTCTTACTCTTTAGTAGCCCCTACTGAAGAAGCCAGCCTCCCAAGTGGCATTTTGGAAATGAGTATCCTGCCCAGGAGTTTTAGGCTCTGAAATAAGAAGTGCAATCCAATTTCCTCTCACAGACTAATGTATCTAGTCAAGGATGCTGCCACCGTTAAATTTGGTTAGTTGGAGGGAATTTATTGGATAGGTGAGTGTCTCTATCAAAAGACTGGAATATAAAACCTTTTTGTTTTTCATAGACCATGATTCCTAATGGTGTCTTTATTTATGTGCCAGACCTGTGACAGGGAAAGCAATTGTGTTCTGCAGGGTTACAAGTCCTGAAACATAAGAAGGCAGGGCCTCTGACCATATCCAGGCCAGGAAGACACTTTAGTAACCTTAGCATCAGTCTTTTCTGCCAGGATCCAGAAGCACCATCCTTGTACCTACATAAGGAAAATGCACTGCTGGGGCCCAGCATGGTATAGATTGGGGTGTCCAATCTTTTGGTTACCCTGGGCCACGTTGGAAGAAGAAGAATTGTCTTGGGCCGCATATAAAATACACTAACACTAACGATAGTTGATGAGCTAGAAAAAAAATCACCCAAAACAATCACAATTTTTTTTTTTTTTTGTTAAGACAGGGTTTCACCATGTTGGTCAGACTGGTCTTGAACTCCTGACCTCAGGTGATCCACCCGCCTTGGCCTCAAAGTGCTTGGATTACAGGCTTGAACCACTACGCTTGGCCTAAAATATCATAATGTTTTAAGAAAGTTTATGAAGTTGTGTTGGGCCACATTCAAAGCCATTTGGGCTGCGTGCAGCCTGCAGGCTGAAGGTTGGACAAGCTTGGTCTAGATCATGCAGAGCCCAGTAGGCTGGACATCAGGAGGCCTGGCCTGCCACCCCACTTCTACCTTTCACCCACAGCATGAATTTATTGTGACCTGGTCCCATAGCTGCACTCTACCTGTAACTCTAGCCCTATACACAGGAGAAAGATAGGATATTTGAAGTGCCATATTGTCTTCTCAGTTTCCGTGGGGAAAAAAAAAAAAAGTGAAAATTACTTTCTGAGTGGAGTATGTTATTGTAGGGCAGGGAAAGTTTTATTTTCTTGACCTAAGGCTGAGACACCTGTAATAAAAGACAGATTAAAAAGAGAAAAGCATACAAGTATATTTAATATAAGTTTTATGTTTAATACAAGTTTTATGTCACCCAAGATCCTTTAGAAAGGAAGACCCAAAGAAATGCGGAAAGCTGTGGATTTTTATGCTAAGTTTGTTAAGGAAATGGAGAGTGGTGAAATGTGATTGGACAAAGAAGGTATAACTGAATGGTAATAAACTGGGGAAACTTAGCCAGGACAGTTTCTTCAGATTTTTCTCTGTGTCCCTGTATCTTTGGAGGTAAAGTGTTTCTTTCTTTTGGGTATAGGGTGGGCACCTCTCACATGATGGTCTTACGACATACTTCAGAAGAGGGTCAGTTAGGTTCTATGACCTGCTTCAGAGGAGAAGGGGTGAGGAGAAGGTGAAAGTGACTTTCTTGTTTCTGTGGTTTTCTTAAATACCAAGGTGCCATACTTTAGGGTGTTGTGTCCTGAACCCCATCATTACCAAAGATTTTGAAGTCATGCAAAAATTTTGTCTGATACAATTCACTCCTACACCCTATAATGAACAATGCAGCTACTCTATTGGTTAAAATATAACTGTATTCATTCTCAGGCCCCTATTCACTGTTGGTTTTGGGAATTCTCAAGTGACAAATAAATTCAGACTTGATCTTTCACTCCAGATGGCTGAGCAGGAAAGAGAGCCTATATTGAAAGCTTTTCAACAATACCAAACACTTTACGTTTGTTACACAATAACCTATTCCAACCTAGTGCTTCACAGATAACTCCTACATCCATTCTCCATTCTCTTCACTAAGTCCTACCACAACCTTTGAGGTATACAGGGCAGGTATTATTTATGTATTTTTTAAGACAGGGTCTTGCTCTGTTTCCCAGGCTGGAGTGCCGTGGTGTGGTCACAGCTCACGGCAGCCTTGACCTCCCCAGGCTCAGATAATCTGCCCACTTCAGCCTCCTGAGCAGCTGGA